GGAATGCAAAACTCAAACCTAAAGCAATGCAAAATACTGCAAGAGAACACACACTAAGTTTTTAGTGGCAAAATGGTGGTACTACATATCAGTGCCATTCTGTGATGTAATTTGATCCGACAAACTTCCATTGAGAGACATGTGTTTATCTTTTGTTTTTACGCAAATAAACCAGTAAGTCCTGGTACCAATACATGCCAGGACTAACACCTGAATAGCTCTTATTTGAATCATTAAGGACTAAAAGTTGTACATTTGCTAAAAGCAGAGTCCAGCGTTCTTTTCCCTCTCCAATAATCTGACTGAGACATTACTGGCCGTGACTCAGCAGATTGGAGGCAGGGCTTAAATAAAACTTAAGTGCGCATGCTCTATTGGCCCAGATTCCTGGATGATCTGGGTCTTTTCCTTTTCGAGAGTCAAGCCATTTTGGATTCATGAGTAACTTTCATAGGAGTAAAAGAAGTCCAGCCTCCAACTGTGTTCAGTTCTCACATGCACACATACATACATGGGTGTTAAACAACAGGACATTTTTAGGAAAAGAAAGACGCCAAAGTGTCCAGGGAAGCAGTTGACATTTTCTAGACATTTAAGTGACATAAAATCAATGTTTAAACATTGATAACTTTAATTCAGGGTATGGCAGGAGCCGCCAAAAAAAGGTAGTAATGCTGAAATGTAGCTGTAGAAACAATCTGATGTTGATAATCATGATACCCACACTCTATTACAATGGGAGTCACAGTTCAACATGTTCAGGATTTCATTTTTACACTAAATTACATAACTTATAACTACATACCAATGCTATATTGCTACTATATTCTTCATTGTATTTTTACATATTAATATTATATGATCATGGTATTCACTTTCATTTATATGATAAGGTATATATTTTGGAAATAATTGTATTCCCTGCAGTATACTACACTTATTTTATAAAACTTTATTCACACTTGAATACAATATTGCATAAACTTTTCACATTATTCATAACTTTAGTGTATATAGTTCACATTAAGCTACCAGAAGTGCACAATTGAACCTTTTTTGCACTAGTATTAAACAGCTTTTTAAATTAGTTTAATTTAGAAAAAAGCGTGAAAACGTCAATATTCAAAAGCAAGTTCTGGAGTTTTAACAAGTTTACTTTTGGATTACTTTCCACGCAGATTTCTGAACGTTTGTTTGTGAAGGGCAGCTGGGATAGTGATGTCCTCAGTCACACTGAAACAAGTGTGTTTTATGTGTGTTCAGATCTGAGTCAAACCGTTGCTAGGACGGCCAAATCTGAAGACAATCCACAATAACAAACCTTCATCAGTCTCTTTTGTGCATATTTGAATGTTTATATTGTTTGCAGCGTTTTTTAATGTCACCTCTCTTATTTCTTTAATTTATTATTTTCATTCAAATAAATACAGCCTTTTAGAGTATACGTTTGTTATGCTTTAACAAGTCAATGTGCCCCTTAGGGAATAAGTCTTATCTAAATTTATTTCTGGGGCTGTCAAAGTTAAAGCGTTGTAGATTGCAATTAATCGGGAAACCTTGATGCGTATAAAAAATGTACACAAATTAATCATATCACAAAGTTTGACCCCAACTTCCTTTTGTTTTTCCAGAGTGGAGTTTTACCATGAATTGCATGGCAGTGAGAAGGCAAAGAAAGCGGAACCGGAAAAACTAGATGTATTAAACTGACTGACCACTGGACATCAGTAAGAACCAGCACTACCTCGGTATAACTGCACACCTTAACTGGTGAAAACGGAGGAAATGCATTTTGCTGAAGCATGTGCTATAGCTTGTTTCTTGAAGATAGAGTACAGGGTCACCACTGTAGGAACAGATAGTGCCTTCACTATGATAGCGGATAGCAAGACTACTACCATCAGAGCATATAACCTGTGTTACGCATATTATACATAGGGCCATCACTGAGGGCCATAATTGGGGTAATTACTAAAAAAACATAATGCATTACACATTACTAGTTACTTTATAAAAGAGTAATGCCTTACTTTACTCAATTTCTCACTGATGGAAGTAATTAGTTACAATACTAGACACTTTACTTTTGGATTACACTGTAACATCACCTGAGATGCACCATAAATCAAATGACAAATGCTCCTTGTTTAAACATCAGCCTTAAAAAACTTCCCAGAAAAACTCTCAATTCTTTGTCATACACCAACAAAACTTAAAATATGTTTTCCTTCCAACCATCTAGTCCAAATATGAATGCCGTGCTTAGTAACTGAAATGTGATTACTGCTGTTATCAAGTGACGTGACGTGTTACATTACTGTGTAACAGACATGTAATCTGATTACAGCAACACATCACTTTGTAGCGTGTTAACCCCACAGCACGCAGATCTGATGAAGATGTCTGATGAAGACCTGGATGGCGCTGATGGACAGTTTTGACATTGACATGACATTAAGACACACAGACTCCTGATAACCTGTTAATGCGTCTTTCAGCTCCATTTCCCCTTTTCCTCTCTATCGCAGCTACTCGGAAATCTGATAACGCCACACAATTTTCTGCTTGGAGGAAACATTTCACTTAAAAGGCCACAGCTCCTTGCAGAATTTTAACAGCTTTTTGAACCGGTTTCATGCAGCTGGGTGATACAGTGAATGATGCCTCTTAGGATACAGTAAGCTGTTGACAAATCACTGCACTAAAGTGGATTGCTAATATGATCTTGAGGAGATATCAGCTCCGACTGCTGAATTTAAAACGGCAGCCTACAATAGGCCACATCCAGGCCGAGCCGGGGTACTTTGTCTCCTCTGAAGCGGAGATTGAAGTGGATACCGTCTGACAGCCGCTCTGATCCTCACACAGAGAGCGTCCGGATCTCTGAGAAAAGCTTAGCCTCACCTCTTCCTGCTCCACTGACTCTCACTTTTACACCTTTTACACAACGCCTGTCAGAAGGCACTTTGTTTACAGGACTGTACTTAACAGCTGTGCCAGATACAAACTGTGAAAACAGGGCTTTTTGTCTTTGTCATTAGCTACAACTGAGCGACAATCTCTTCAATCAATATCCACTTATCTGCTGTACGCTAAGCTTTATTCTGGGGAGTCAAAATGAGCAAGACAGCTTTCTAATAAACTGAAGGCCTGATACCCTTTATGGCATGGTATCTATGGTCTGGTTATAGGATCCCTGCCCTTTCAGATTTATTTTCCAAAAAGTGAGAGAAACTCCCTCTGGAGGGAAATTTGGGATTTTAGCCAAAACCTATATAACACTACAGGATAGGGAAAACCCAAAATGCATACTGTAATGGGGCCCCTTTAAAGAGCCTGTGACAGCCTCCCAACAACTGTTGTGCAATGAAATATTGGGCTACTAGTCACCTCGAACCGTCAGTTTAAAAAAGAAAAAGCGATACCGTTCCGATAAATATCAATAATTTCGAACATGGCGGGAAAATTCCTTCGACTCATTCTGAAGTTTTGGGGGAAGCCGGAAGTGACGTCAATGCGGGAACGCTTCACTGTGCGGCAAGAGAGCCAAACACGGACAAAGTGTGTTGTCATGCGTAGAAATTGTGAATTACTGAGTTTAGGCACGTTAATAACGTTTTAATGAAGTTGACTACAGTATATTCATATTTGTCAGTGCTTTCATGTCAATTCGGCGAACATAAACATAAATGATCGTGGTGAAGATGATGATTAAATTAGGATTAAAAATCGGTAGTGAGAGCTGCTGAATTTCGTCCCGTAGGATGTGATATAAAAACAAATCTATTATTTTTATAGTTGTAAACTCAAGCAGATGAAACTACATTTATTAGTGTCAATTCGGCGAACATATGATACATTAAATGATCGTGAGGATGATGATTTAAAAATCGTTTGTTTGAGCTGGTCTGTATTTCCTGATGAGAAAACAAACCGATGCTTTTTGTAGTTGTAGTACACCAAAAACATCCCCACTACACCACTGGTTGTAGTAGTACACCAACATGGATTAAACGTGTGTTTTTTTTACCACAATGTTGGGGAAATTAATGGATAAAATGCAGATTATTATTATTATTATTCCCACTCCGATCGGGACACTAGGTCCACCGTTTCCCCGCAGCGAGGCTCCCCCCGTTGACAGTTTACGTGGGCTGGGCTGGGTGCAGTGGCGGACTGGCCATCGGGACGAATCCCGATGGGCCGGTACCGAAGTGGGCCGTTCGGATAAGTCACTAGCACATCCCCCACTCCCCCCGTTGACAATTTACTAGCGGTACCGAAGTGGGCCGGTCGAGAGTCCCGGGATGATTTTTAGTCCCAGTCCACCACTGGCTAAATGACCGTATGATCGCCCATATTGACGCACCTAATTCCTAAACTTCTAACAGATACAACATAAACCGATCCTTCAGCCTCATATGAGCTCTCAGACACGTTCAAAATTAAACTGTCTGAGCTGTCTGAGCTTGCTGCTGTGTGCGCCATCATGAGTTTACATGCAGATGCTGGGATCCTGAACGGTGCAGCTGGAGCGCTTGGCCCGCAATGACGTCACACATAATTTGGCGGGACTTGAAGAATCCCCGAAAAGATCCAGAAAATTGTTAACATTGAAGGGCAGATTAATGGTTATCAAAGTACAAATATCCAAAATCAGTTCAGTAACGGTTTTCAAGGGGACAATATTTACTCAAATTGATGGGTTTGGATGATGGGGGAAACTCGTGTCACAGGCTCTTTAAGAAAAGTTATATAAATTAATGATACTACATGATAAAAATAAGGCTTCAAATAGACACTGTGAACGCTATCAGCAGAATTGGATTCCAGTGTTTGATTATTGGCCAAAGCATTTATTAGGCGGTCTTTGGTTATTATTATTCTTCACTAGTCCCCTGTGGTGTGTGCGGTGTGTTTACGAGTTGGGAGGAAGAGAATTAAAATCCTGTGACCAGAATGTCCCTTTTTTACACCGGTGAGTGGATGCTCAAAGTCACCTTTCATCCTTTTGATGAAGTCTCTGTCATCTGACCCGACGTCCTCCCGGTGCCTCTTCTGACAGCCGCCTGTGGAGCGCAAACGCACACACTGATCACCTGGAACATCACAAAGACACTCATGTCAGCAACAACACATTGTTATTGTAATTATCTTTTTCCAGAGGGAATACAAACAGAATAGTACACTGCATAGGGGAGTACGACAACAAGAAATAAAATGATGAGATGAAAATAGGAATCTGAATACAGACACACACGGGCACACACAGAAGAAATGCAAATACAAAGATAAACAAACACACAACAGAGTTGTAATATTGCTGTCACAACAAATTACACATAACGCCAAATTAATTAACGTTTGCAAATTAATTTGTCTGGTCATGCAAATTGAGCAGCATGTGTCATCTCAGGAAACAATGTGATCTAATAGAAATGGTCAAATACACATTACAAAGAAGCCCACCAAATACAATTATGTGAGTTCACTGTTCAACTTCTTGAGGGCATTTAGGGTGATTAATCAGAATTGTTTGGGCTATACTTCCTGTCGATCTTTTTCTTGCTGATTACAGCAACCATGTTTTCTCTTTACATGTCTTTTTTTACTTCTCTTAGTAGGTGTACACGCACTGGTTAAAAGGGTCCCTATTCTGCTAATTTTCATTTATGTTTTGGGCCTCTAGTGTGACATGTTTTCACACTTTAACGTTCAAAAAGCTCTTTATTTGTCTCATACTGCCTGTGCTGCAGCACCTCTTTTCACCCTCTGTCTGAAACCAGAGCCCAGTCTGCTCTGATTGGTTAGCTGGCTGGCAGGTTTATCCTTAGGTGTTTAAATCTGCTTTTGCAAAGATAAGGCATCAAATTAGTTTGACGTTATCGAGTGTCAATCTCTATGTAACTTATTGGTCTCTGGTTCCAGTGAATTGTCTATGGATCGACTGTGATTGGTTGGAGAAAGGATGGATAGGGCAATGTAAGTTTAAAAGCCCATCCACAAACGGTAAACACAAGATTACAACTATAACAATTGTACTGGCAAATTCAAACATAACACTTTTTTTGTGCTTGTAAATGTGAAAAATTAATATAGAGAATGATAAAAATAATGGGAACAGCCAAAATAAATTGAAAAGGATTAGGAGGGTTACTCCACAATTAAATCAATGTTGCAGGATAGTCGGAAAAGAGGCCATGTTTTTGTGTTGCAATGAGCGACCGTATACAGTATATGAGACTCACATGAACAGGAAAACACATTTGAACACACACCTTCTAACAGCCTTGATGAGGGCTTGCTGGCGGGGAGAGGATCCATATTCAAGACCTTGTAAAGCTGTCCGAAAGCTAGGAGGCGTAACGCATGCTGAAAAACACACACAAACACACACCAGACAGAATAAGAGCACATCTCTGTATTGGTAGAGCAACATAAGTGTGCAGTCAAAACAGGCAGCATGGATATCATTTATTTTCCGATCAATGCGCTGTAATTACCGGGCAAACTTTGTGTAAACAATCTGACTCTGTTGGGAGAAACGTCATGCATTATAGAGGAGGGGAATAAACACTCAAACGAAGGAGATAAGAAAAAGAAAGAAACGTATTCCCAGCGAGCAAAACAAAGGCAAAACAGAGTGAGAGGGGAAGATGTGAATTGAGGATGTCTTCATTATTTTCTCAGCGCTGAGCTCCCATTCTCCACCCGGGGGCAGACTTTGTTGTGCGTTGCAGCAGCAGCAGTGGTGGTGGCACAGTAGTTGTGTGGGTGTGAGCGGGAAAGAGTGTTCCCACGCTCATTAAGGAGGCTAATTAGGCTTCCTAGTTCATCAAGCCTGCGCTACACCGAGGGGCTGCTGATCCGAGGTCAGAGTCCGGGGCTTCTGCAGCCACTCAGCTATTTATAGTGCTGATGTAATGCAGTGGGCTTGCTTCTAATAAACCTCCTTCAATCAGGGGAGCATTGCTCGTCCGGTCTCCTGAAAAAAAATGCTGACTTCGGCGGAGAGGAAGTGAACCCCAGTGAGATGTTTCAAAGTCTCAAGAGTCTCAGCCCAGCTAATGATTATACTCAGCTTTTATAGCAGGAAAACAGGAAGGGAAGTTTTATAAATCTCAGGGGCGCAGTGCAAAGACAAGGTCCATAAAGCAGCAGTTCATATGAAAGACTTCCTATAAGGGAAGGTATGTAAGAAAGTCTATATTCGGAACACATATGTGGCTTTACATTAGTTCATCTCCAGCGAAGAAGTATTAGCTACACAAAAGAGTTTACATTCACAACTCTCTTTGGTTTTCACATATCACTTTTCGAGCAGCTCAAAGCTCACATTTTCAATGCTGCTTTTAAAGGGGCCCTTTTATGCTCATTTTCAGGTATATCATTCTATTTTGTTCCTCTACTGTGTCATGTTTATATGCTTTAATGTGCAAAAAGGTCTTTATTTTTCACATACTGCCTGTGCTCCCTCTGGAGGGAACAGGGATTTTAGCCTGCAGAAAATGTACATGCTCAATAACCTATATATAGCACACTACTGGGAAGGGAAAACACCAAAAAGCACAATAGGGCCTCTTTATTGTGTAAATTACTATTGTTTTACATTTGAGGTGTGTTGTTCTTAAAAAATGTATATTATGTAAAGCATCTTTTAGTATCTTAAAAAGCACTCTAAATGTAAAATGTATTAGTATTTGATTATTTAGCTCCAGTTTGAACGGTTTTTGCCATCCCATACTTGATGAATTTGAAGGTGACCTTTTTTTGTGTGTGTGACTTGATCACCTTTGGGAGCATCTGTGGCCCTGAGGCCGAAGACAAGAGCGTCTTAATCGATGCTCCCGGTGCAGACAGAAGGATGTATGAAATGCTCCTCTGTTCCTGTAAAAGTGCCCTTGAGCACTATAAACCTCCTTAACCTAAGTTAAAACCAAAAAGGTATCAGCTTAAACTTCCTGGCCTGGAGCAACAAAACACACTACCGTAATTTTCGGACTATAAGGCGCACCTGAATATAAGCCGCAGCAGCGGCATACCACTCTCGGTTCCACTTTTACTTTTGCGCGCTACCTGTCTCACTCTTTTCCGGCCTCCAGCTTTTTCTGCTGGAACCCGCCGCTTAAAGGTGGGGGTCCGCGGACCGGCCATAGAGCCCATAGAGTTAAAGGTGTTGGCCGTTAGCTGTACAAATCCATAGATTAGCCGCACCGTTATATAAGCCGCAGCGTCGAAAAATAGGGAAAAAGGCGCGGCTTATAGTCCGAAAATTACGGTATCTCTCTGTGACAGGAGAAAACCATGAAAGTAACTACAAAACAGATGTTTTTTATTATTATTTTGATCGTAAGGAGAGTGTTCTTTAGCACAAACCCCTGAGAGTTGAATTTGCTACATTGAGCCTGAAGTACGCTTTATTGACTGAACATGTTTTACTTCTGCTATGCAGGTGGGCATTTTAACATTGGGATTTAAAGGGATATTTTTTAGCACTGGGGGTTGCTGCTTGGATTGAACGCTGGTATTCGACCTAACAGCGTCTTTATCAGTAAACACCTTAACCGTAACTCAATCAGATATTGATAAATTAATCTTTATAGCAAAAAATAGTTGATAGAGCTTCTCAAATCTAAAAACATGCAACATTTCATTTTCCTACATTAAGCCATCTCATTGGGTTTTGGGCTAGCAGCAAGACATTCAAGATGCTTCAATAGGCGCAATCCCACCGCAGTACTTTTCCCACAAAGGTTCATCAGAACTTAGTTCATGAGAACTCTTTAGTTCTCATGAACTAAGTACAGATCGCGTTCACACCGGAATAAGTCCCTGGGGGAGGATTAGGCAAATAAAGCCGCTGACGTCACTTCTTCTTCTTCTGCTTTGGGTTTACTGGCAGGCCGCAAACAACTTCACGGCGTATACTGCCACCCGAAGTACCCGGCCGGAAGTCCCCGGAGTTGGGGACTGGCTTCAGTAGAAGCTGCTGGGACTCCCATCAGCTTCTATTGAAGCCCTCCGAGTAAATCGCCAGAACACCGACACCTCCTCATCTCCACCGCTCCCATGTTTTAATTTGTGTTGCCATACGTTAGTCTCTCTGCGTTTGTGCACTGGGCTAATGCTAATGCTAATAATGCTAATGTGAGGATAATAAAATGGCGGCTTCACAAAACATTTGAGTTTTAAGGGGGTGTGGTTTGCATTCCGCCAAGCCAATCAGACATAAGAACCTTTTTCTCCCGTGAAAGGGGTAAAAAGGTTCTCATTAACACATTTTTGTTCCGGATTTTTTTGGTGTGAACGCAACATTTCGGAACTATATCGGAACTAAATTGGGAAAAGTACTGCGGTGTGAACGCGCTAAATTGCTGCTATTTGAGGAAATAATCAGCATTTACTGAAATTTAAAATACTAACTATAGTTAACTGATAGTGTAAATGCGTATGGACTTACATTCCTTCTGCTTTAAGATTTGGCTTTAATCACTACAGAACTAACGGCAGCAGGGGCTGATGGGTAAAGAGGGCTGACCTGTGCGCTGTGAGTGATGGCGTCTGCCTGCTGCGCGCTGAGGTCAGTCAGGACGTCTGTGGGGTCCCTCTCACAGGGGTCGTGGACTCCGGGGCCTTCTGTAGAGGAAAAGGTTGTGACTCAGACATGAGAGTCCTCCAAACAGCGACACAATCTTTGAACCCTCTTTAATTTCTCTTTACAGGAAAACACACACGGAAATAATTAAGCAACTCCTGCTGTGTACACTCTGAATGCAGCAGTAACTCATCAATGATTCAAAGACTCCAGGGAACAACCTGCCATTTCAACGCTGAGGCGAAGCCCGAATACAAAATCCAATCACATCATCACAAAGGCTAACGCTCGGCAGTGATCAAACACGGAAGCTGCCGGAATATGGATTAGAAAGAGAAGGGGAAGGAAAAAATAACCCTGAGAACATTTTCTTGTATTGTAGCTGAGTAAAAAACATTGTTAAAGTAGATTGCTCCAGTATTCAAATTGCAGAGGAGGAAGAAGGTGGATTCGATCTCTCTAAAAATAATTCACCACCAACTTTTACTGTATGAAAGAGTTCAACTCAACCCACACTCATGTTGCTGTTAATCCACTAAAGGAGCCCTGAGGGGATCTATACTACACAATTAATGCTCTGTAGGATACTGTAGACTGAGGTCCTATTACGCTTTTCCCTTTATTGTAGTGCGTTATATAGGTTTTGTGTGCATGTAAATGGTCTGCAAAGTCTAAAATCCCAAAGTTCCTTCCAGACACGCTCCCGAAAACGCCTTTATTGTCTTCCTTTGTTTACTTCCACAACATAATAACATCACTATGTAACACTTGCGCTATTATTGGCTAGCGCTCCAACACATTGTTCGTGATAGGCTAAGGGCTGGCACATCACAGCAAGCTAACCTATCAGAGCAGACTGGTCTCTGGTTTCAGACAGAGGGTGAAAAGAGGTGCTGCAGCACAGGCAGTATGAGAAAAATAAAGAGTTTTTTGAACATTAAAAAGCATGTAAACATGACAAAGAAGAGGCACAAAATCTCAATATGAACCTGAAGATGAACATAATATTTCTTTATTAAGTGGGAATGAAAATAAACAGTGCCGATTCTAGAGTCTGTGGGGCCCAAGGCAAACATTCACTGGGAGCCCCTCGAACCAGATTTTCATCTCCATGCACAGCGGAGCAAGGCAACGAAACTTAAGATAAGAAGCAGCATTTTACGGCGCACGATGCATGGGGCCGCCTTGACGGGGTTTCCCGACATGTCGTTGCAGTAAATTAAAGGGTGTTTCATGTTGTCGTTGCTGTGGACTTTCTTAAATCTACCTTTTTTGGGGGCCCCCTTCTGGTCCGGGGCCCCAAGCAGTTGCCTGCCTTGCCTGTCCGCAAGCGGCGGCCCTGACAATAAATGGCAGGGACATTTTTAAATAGAACTTAAATCATCATCGTAGCTACGCCTTTTACAATTCCAACTGAGGGGAACATGAATGTCTGAAAAGCATTTTATGGATATCCATGACCAATGTGTTCAGCAAGCTTTTGTTGAACTCAGCAGATATTGAGCCACTTTATTTCGTTTATGACTTATGTACTTGAAAGCCCCTTTCCCTTAAAACTAGTATAAAAGTAGTAAACATGTATTTGTATAATGGTGCACTGACCAAAACAATGGATCATCATAAATACTCCCTCTTATTAATTGTTCTCTTCAGATGGGGCTATGACGCTCCTCCAGTGTCCTTGCTCACTTCAATTTCAGTGTCAAACTTTGTAATTTCATTTCGCTGCTCTCTGAGCAGAGAGTCTGAGTACTGGATCCAATCACTACGGTCAGCTCTTATCCACTGACGGCTTACATGTATGCATTACTGGCCGGAGTAATTTCATCATTTACAAGATTAAAACTGTTGAATGATTCAAACAAACAGAGGGCAAACCTGCTGCCAACATGTTTTGACTTTTGGTATTGTTTTGAGTTGTGAGCCTCTTGGTTATTTATTGCAAATTGGAAAAGAAGTATGCAACAGCATTCCACTATAGTTCTTCAAATCTTTAATCTTATTATTATTATTTCAACCAATATTTTGCAGTCCGATAACTTCGGCCTAATTTCAGCTACAGGAACCATTCAAATATCAAAATATTCAGCCTTTTCAGCACATGATGGAAAACTTTAAACTTTTTCAAAATATGTTATCCTTTTTGAAATATTCAGCTTTAAAACTTTTTTTTAACATGTAACTCAATGGGAGGAATCTTAAAATCCTCTTTTAACTACACCGTACGCTAAATGCTAGACTTCGTTCCAACTTTAAATTGATCACAAGACCTTCAGCTTTTACAATGTTATTCAGATTTTTTTATATCTTTTACACTTTTTGAGATATTTAACTTAGTTTGGAGCTTGGTAAATATGGGGATAGTTTTGTTTCATAAAGATAAAGCAAAACTTTCTCAGAATCAAGCAAAACTAAGAGTTTAAGAGAAAAATGTGTATAATCATTATTTTGTCTTTATTCTACATGAAAATGTTAGAGATTCCATTCAAATCTGTTGATTATTCAGACCTTCCTCAGGTTAGGAATAGTATGTTGAGTTTTGAATGCTAAATGTATATCATTTTCTCACAGGATATAGAATGAGACAACACAGTTTGTATCCATTGTGTATGAATGCTTCAGCTCTTCAGACCAACATAGTAAGATGTGGTATGCAGCCTAGGTCTGGTCTGTATAATAAAGCAAATCTGCCACTTTTATATTGTAGAATTTGTTCAATTAAAGCAGTCTTTAATTGTTTGTCCTAAACATAGCCATATATGCTTCTGAAATGTAACATGTATTTGAAAAAATAACAGTAGGCT